ATCGCCGATTGCATTCGCCGCCCTCCCAAGATCATCGCTCGTCGTCGTCATCCTGCTGAGTTCCAAAAATTCAAACCCGCCCAGAACAGTCACCAAACGCATCGGGCGACTGTACTGGGGCGGGTGCCTTTTCCAGGCGACGGGGGGAGACGGGAGGAGAGGAGAGGAGAGGAGAGGGGAGGCCCTCTCCTCCCATCCTCTGCCACGACAACGGCCAGCCGGGCAGGGGATGAGTAGGCGGGGCGCTGTCAGGTAGCGACGGGGTGAAGGTTGTGTAGACCAAAACCTCCTCACCCCAATATCCTCCAACATACTTTACTGTCTCCATATTTGACAGCTAGACAGCATGCATACGGAGAGCAGCATGGTGGACATCGCTAGGCCGCGACATCGATAATACTTATGTTTCAAGTGATCCCTGCCAAGTGCTCATTTTATTGGACATGCGAGGCGGGCCACTCAGTGACCACTGGGGGCTCTGGGGATCTGGCGGCCGCGGTATGCAGGGTGAACGGGCCGGGAACTCTACACTCTAAATCATTCTACCAACCACAGCCTGTCGGGTGGGGAATGCTCTCCCTTCTCGTCCTTCTCCTCCTACTGACCTCCAAAAATTCAAACCCGCCCAAAACAGGCACCAAACGCCTCCGAAGACAGTTTGGGGGCGGGTGCCTTTTTGGGCGACCAGGGGAGACGGGAGGGAAAGGCAGGAAAAGTGAGGCCTTCTCCGCCTCTTTCACGACAGGCCTCGGAAAGAAATAGCGAGCACTCATGCCACATTCATCTGTGAACGCCTCCCCCTCCCCCTAATGTTCAAAGTTGGCGGTGGGTCTGATGAGTTGCACGTCGACCGCAGTCTCCCCCGCGCGTGCCAACTTTGAGTTTAGGGGGCAGGGGGGGTGTTCACTAATTGTTTCCCTCTAGCAGGCCACGGCTGGCCAGGCAAGGGATGGGGGAAGAGGGGCGCGGGGCGCCGTCAGGGAGCGACGTGGGCGAAGGCCTTTTGAGACATCGATATCCTGCACCGATATCCAGACGTGTGGATGCCACGACGATGGACACCTTAACAGTCCTATCATCGAATTAAAGAGGTGATTTACATATAAGAGAAATGTCCTGAGCATGTTTAACACATGCTTTTTAATGTTTAAAAACAGTTTTGAAACATTTGCTAGACACCTGGAAATGATTTGGCAACATGCTTCCTCGCCGTTCATCGTCCTCCACAAATCTAGACATCGCGACACCGAACTAGAACTCGACATCTGCAACAATTTGGCTACATGGCGCGCATCGCTAGGCCAAGATTTTAAGAAAAACACTGCCGTCGACAACATCGAGATTCGAGTCCCCGCCCTGCCGCGCACGCCGATTTCGAGATATCGGAGAGAGCGTGATCCATCGTCGCCTTACTGTGGAAAATTCCCCCCCCCCCCTCTTCCTCCGGAACCTGGGGGCCCCCCCCCCTCCGACAATCCCACCCCCCACTGCTGGACCCCCCCCCCTCCCCTCCCCCGGCAAAACCACCCCCCCCTCCCCTAACCCCCCCTCCCCTCGAAAACCGGGGGGGTCACTACCGGTTCGAACCCCTCCCCCCCCCTCACCGCCAGCAATCGACTCCCAGTCCCTACCACCGTCCGCACCACATCCCCCACTGTTGTTCCCAGCGCCACTGTCCTCACTACCACTGTCCCCACTGGTTCCACCACCGTCCCTACTGTCCCCACCAGTGCTCCCACCACTGTCGCACTGTCCCCACTGTCCCCACCACTGTTACCGCCACGGTTCCACTCTCCCCACTTTCTCCACGGCCCCAACCACTGCCCGACTATCCCCACTGTCCCCACTGTCCCATTGACTCCTCCGCTGTCCCACTGAGCTGTCCCACTGTTCCCACCACTGTCCCCACTGTCCACACCACTGTCCCCACTGTACCTCTGTCCCATTGTCCCACTGCCGTCCTCGCCACCGCCTTCACCACTGTCCCCACCACCACTGTACCCTCCACTGTCCCACTGTTTCCACCACATTCCCACTGTCCCCACACCACTGTCCCCTCCACCACCGTCCCCACCACTGTCCCACTGTCCCCACTGTTCCCACCATTGTCCTCACCACTGTCCCCACCACTACCGTCCCCACCACTGTCCCACTGTTCCCACCACTGTCCCGCTGTCCCCTCACCACTGTCCCCACCACCACCGTCTCCACCACTGTCCGCACCCCCCCCCGGTTTTCGAGGGGGGGGGGGTTCGAACCGGTAGTGACCCCCCTTCGGTTTTCGAGGGGGGGGGGGTTCGAACCGGTAGTGACCCCCCCCTTTTCATGATGGACTGGGGGTGGGGGAGGGGTTCGAACCGGTAGTGACCCCCCCCCCGGTTTTCCGGAGGGAGGGGGTGGGGGGGATTCGAACCGGTAGTGACCCCCCTCGGTTTTCCGCCAGCAGCGGTAGAACACGCTCTTTCAGATATCGAAGCATCGAGTCCCCGCTTGGTCCCGCCCCCCGAACTCTAGATATCGAGATATCGAGTCATCGCCGAGCCCCGCCCACGATATCGAGATATCGAGATCTCGAGGCCTCCCGACCCCCACGGGGAAGCCTTGCGACC